TAATATATTATAATAGATTTTCTCTATATCATATATATGATAGAGAATATATATTATAGAAAATCTCATAATATATAATATTTTCTTTTCGAATTAAAATATAAAATATTATTCTAGAGAAAAAAATGATCGATTTTTTATATGAGTATATATAACCTAATAGAGAAAGATAGAAATAGAGAGATAGGAAAATAAAGTAAAATAGGATAAGGCAAGCCGATCATGGTCGATAACCATAAACGTTTACCCTAGAAGTGACTTTAACTTCCACTCCGAAGCACTAACCACAAAGCCATAACGACATTTCAGCTGGGACTATGTGCACTCGTTCGATTGGCTACGTACCTCGTTCTATGGTTTATGGTATTGCAAGTAAACGCTATTATATAGTCTAAAATACCCAAAAGCACTATGATTTTAGGCTGTTAATCATCCCCAAATCGAACTATCCGAAGATGCTTACTTAAACATCAAAGATACGAAACACGTATAACTTTTATTTAAACTACCCTTATATATCGTATGTTAATAACATGATTTATGATATAATTTTATCTTACCCATCTCACATGTTTATAAAGTAATTGAAATTTAAAACGATGCTCGTAAGAAACATCATAAAATGTTCTATTATTTCTAAATTTAATTAACCCCCCATTGAGAGTTGTGAATAAAATAAGAAATATATTTGTAAAATATTCAAAGAAAAAAATGTCATATGAATTCTGAAAAATTTACAATAGAAATAATTGTAATGATTTACAGTACGTATAAAGATCTGCTAAGTTTGAGAAAAAAAGAAAAGTAGGATTAAGAATTGATAGTTTTTTGAAAACTTTAACCTGATCAAATGAATTCTGTTTCTGTCAGGTGTCAGCAGAGAACACAATACAGCATCCACCGTTGGCTCCAGTCAATTCCAAAGGTATACCCAACAGCCTTGGTTTACGTCTGGAAGCAGAACCAAGACATTTCGGTGGTGGTGGCCTGGTTAAGATCAAATGCATCGCTGAAGTCGGTTCTCGTGCGTTCGAAGCTGAAAAGAGGGTCCAGATGGCTTATGTGAACAACCAGAGGCTGAGTGCTGGTGATCTTCGCAGCAACAAAGCTTGTCGTAACGACGACCGATTTCTCTATGGTCCTCTTATATTTTCGATCCTTTTAATCGTCGTTTCAACGTGACCGAGTGAAACGTGAACAGAATTATTAATTATTATAATAATAATAATAATAATCCGCGAGTCACGCTTTAACGCGTATGTTACGTACGTCACGTTTTTGCAAAGCGGATTCAGTGTCAGTCGTCCGATCCTTTTCGTATAATGTTAACCTAGCCGTTAAGGTATTAGATCAATGATCTAATTATAAAAACCAACGACGATGGGATTTATATATTAAATTTTTGTTCATATTGTATTTTTTTTTTAATTTGTTTTATTATACTCAAATATTTTAAGAATATTTTTATACCTTCGTAAAAAGTCCCACGTTTTATCTAATCGGTTGTTTCATTTCTATTAATTATTATTATTATTATTGTTTATATATTAATTCACTAATGATACACAAATCTTAGATGAAATATATATTATATTAAACTGATTTTTAATAAACGTTAATTAACACTATTGTGATTTGATTTTATATATTCTACACGGTTATAATTATAATTTCATATATATATATATATATATACTTCAACTTGTATATTTAGATACCAATCAATTTCCTTTATTATTACGAATAATGAAAAAAAATGTGGAAAAAAAAAGTAAAAGAAAGAAATGTTCCAAACTTCGACAGAGAAAAAAGAAAAAAAAAGAAGAAAAAAAAAAGAAGAAAAATCACGTTTTCATTAGTCGATACCGATAGTTGACATATTTTAAAACTAACTTCGTCCGAATGATATTTCATTTCCTTATCAGTCTATTAACTCGTGATCTTACTAACGAGTTTTAAAACGATCCAAGCTTCTTTCAAACTTTCTTCTTAGAATAATGAAGTCGAATATCATTTCGACTTCTTATCTCGAAGTTTAAATTTACAAGGAATTTTTGGTTAACGTTTAAGTTCAATAAAATCGGATATCGATTATTCGATACCAACCGTGATAATACGACTGCCATTTAAACAAAATAATCAGAAATATCGGAGAAATTAACGAAAGAACGAACGAACGAACGAATATCAACTCGAACTAACAAACTAATGCATAAATAAATTCATTAATACTTGACGTTCGATTACTTTGCGCAATTAACACTGCCTAGAAAACTTTCTCCCACCCTCCATCCACCCCCCAATTAAATGAACTGTGAGATAAGAGAGAAAAAAGAAAGAAACAAGTAGAGAGAGAGAGAGAGAGAGAGAGAGAGAGAGAGAGAGAGAAAAACTGAGAGGAGAAAATTGCACGCGATATTTATTTGAAAAAATTATAATTATCTTGTATATTTCGTACGTGGGGAAAAAAAAAATAAAAATAAAAAGAGAAAGAAAAAGGAGACGAGAGAAAGAGAGGAGACGGAAGAGAAATATTACATTTTATCTTCTTTATTTCGAACTAATGAAACCGGGGAATTGCAGCTAGTAATTATCGACTTTTTCAAAAATATTTCAATGGTAGCTAAAAAATAATGAGAGATAGATGTGCACATGTGTGCGTATATAAAATGTCTTTTAGAATTATTAGGAAATATTTTTACGAATGAATATAATACGTTAAAATATAATTTTAAAAGTTCATATA